GTGTGGTGTTGTGCTGTGGTGTTGTGCTGTGGTGTGATGCTGTGGTGTGATGCTGTGGTGTGATGCTGTGGTGTGGTGCTGTGGTGTGGTGCTGTGGTGTGGTGCGGTGCTGTGGTGCGGTGCTGTGGTGCGGTGCTGTGGTGCGGTGCTGTGGTGCGGTGTGGTGTTGCTTTGTCCGTAGGAAAATAAATAAGTACGAATGTTAAAATAAAAATAAATCAAAATAATGGCACTATCAATACTAAGGCCAGCGTGGTCACTCTGTGTCTCAGGTGCCTGCCCGTGTCTGCCAGTGTTTGCTGCCAAGCCTGGATCCCTAGGGATGGCAGGACACGCTGTCACACAGCGAGGACCTGTCTCCTCACACTGGTACAGAATCACAACATCTTAGGGGTTGGAAGGGACCTCAAAAGATCACCCAGTCCAACCCCCCTGCCAGGCAGGGTCACCCAGAGCACATCACACAGGAACGTGTCCAGGGGGGTTGGAATGTCTCCAGAGAAGGAGACTCCACAGCCTCTCTGGGCAGCCTGGCCCAGGGCTCTGTCACTCTCACAGCAAAGAAGTTCTTCCTGATATTCACAGGGAACCTCCTGTGCTCCAGTTTGCACCCACTGCCCCTTGTCCTGTCACTGGACATCACTGAACAATGACTGGCTCTGTCCTCCTGACACTCACCCTTAACATATTTGTAAACATGGATGAGGTGGACCTTAAGTTTCTCTCCGCCCAACTCTCCAGCCTGTCCAGGTCTCACTGAATGGCAGCACAGACTTCTGGTGTGTCAGCCACTCCTCCCAGTTCAGTGTCATCAGCAAACTTGCTGAGGACACGCTCTGTTCCCTCATCCAGGTCGTCAATGAAAATATTGAACAGTACCGGTCAGAGTACTGACCCCTGAAGGACTTCACTAGTCACAGACCTCCAGCTAGATTCTGTCCCATTGACCACAACTCTCGTGACTTTTTCCTTTCAACCGGTTCATGAGCCACCTCACTACCTGATCATCAAGACCACACTTCCTCAGTTTATCTACGAGGGTGCTGTGGGCGACAGTGTTACCCGTGTGTTTTATGGAATGTGGTGGCTGGATTGAGCCTCTCGTGTTGCTCCTGCTGTGTGGCACCTCTGAGGCCTTGCCTGGGTGTGGAGGGGAGGGTTTTACCTAAGTTCTTGCTTGTCAGCCTTTTCATTTATACTGGAGTTGTTTTTAACCTGAACATTTTCTCAGTTAATCCAGTCCTAAGTAGCCTACACTGTAAGCATTGTCTTTGCTTTGTGCATTGATGTAGAGAAGGCAAATGACAGTTGAATCAGGAAATCATGGTTGTTTTCAAGGTGACCTTTGTTGTCCTTAAAACGGATTGTTCAGGAAGTTGAGAGTATTGGAAGGTGAACTGAAATCTATTTTATGCAGCAGGTGTGCATGTGTGTGCTGCTGCTTCATCTTTCCCTGATCAACTCTCTGAACTTTATGTGTCACACCTGGAGAAATGCTCAGAGCTTTAATGGTTGTTGAGTGAATCCAGAGATGTTAAAAATGTGGTATGAATAGATGGTTAACACGTAGCAGAAAGTAGGCTCTTGATTGAATATGCTTCATAAAAATAAATTGGCTATTTTATATAAAAAGTGATGTCAGTGCAACTGTTTTCTTACTTTTGGGAAGGTAGTTTCTGGAATTGTGAAGGACAGGGAATAATCTTGGAATAAGGAAAACTAGACGCTTCTCTGGAATGTTAAATAGCAGTGCATTCCCACCTGATTTGTTTCCCTTTTAGTGTTTGCATCTAAACCCAGGCATGGTTTCTGCTTTTTAGTCACTAGCATTTAAACGAAGTTTTTTTTCAGTAACTTTATAGGTTGTAGTATATATATATATGTATATATATATACATTAGCAAGACAGCTATGTTTTGGATGCAGTTAAAAATGTGTATACAGATACGTGGGATTTTTGTTGAGAAGTGCTAGCAGCAGCAGCTGTTTCCAAATAGAATTTTATTTAAACCAAGAGTTCTTTTCAAGAAACAGATGAACTATATTAAGGTGGGGTGGTGCTCCTGGCAGTTTGTTCGTGCTTCTAGGGTTATTTTTTAAATTTTTTTTTCCATCTTCAAGAGTCAGCATTTCCATCTTCAGGAGTGCACAATATGCATTTCTTCCATATACTGTTAGGTAACATTTTAAATTCTGAATGTTCTACCATCCATGTGTCTGTAAAGTTTAAAGAAGTGTCTCTGAAGAAATACGACGTCTGCTGGCTTTTAGATATTTTCTTGAATTGTTAAACATATCTCAAGTTTGAATATGCTGATAAACAGGCAAATACACATCCAATAAATATAACAAAGCATTAATACATTATTTTACTCCAGTTGTGTAGTTTCTTGAAGTAGAGGCAGAGCTCAAAACTGGTTTTGAACCATCTCAGAAAGCATGGGTTGTTGTTTTTTCCTGAATGTTGTTCTAGGCATGGTCTTGTTCAGAACACGGTACAGAAAAAAAACCCAGCTGATCTTGGAACAGACTTGCAGCATTTTGAAAACCAGTCCAATTTTAACATAAAACCAGAACACTTTATTGTTTTTGCAGATGACTATGAACTAGTTTCATCATGGCAAACTAAATCAACATATATTAACCATCACTGTTAGACGTGTTTGTGTACAGATATACATTAAATCTTCAAGTATATGTATTTGTAGAGAGTGTTAAAATGTTTTAGTTCTGGCTGTTTAAGGTAGTCAGGCAAAGAAAAAGGTTGCTGCTGAAGGATGTCCAGCTTTTACTCTCTTAATACCTTATCAAACATTTTTCAATCTCTTAGAGGTTTGTTGTTATTTTCCTTCTTCTTCCTAGGGAGATTTTTCTTTGGAACTAAGCCCACACTTCAGTTACACAATAGGCAATACAAGTTCCCATAATATGCTGAATTTGTACCCTTGTCTTACAATTCTAGAAGAAATTGTAAATCCATTATAACTACTGCTGATCAGAGAAATAATAAATACTACTATCTTCCTAGAAAATAGACGGAAAATACCGTTGCATACTTGGTTTATTCTCGGTGTCAAGAGAAGTCCAAGCAACAAAAGTTGAAGTAGCCAAACACTAGATGTAAGAATAAAGTAAATAATTATGGTGATTAAATTTAATTTATTAAAATATTTTGTGGGAAGAACAGTGTGTTGTCTTGCTGTAATGCTGGCCAGCTGAGATAAATCATAATCAAGACTCTCATTAGGAGGGGAGTGAACTTGCCCACTAGTAACTAACTTTGTGTCTATCTTGGTAGTTCCTCTTCTGGGAATTGGGTGTGTTTTTTCTGTATTTTTGCAGATAGAATAGTTTTTACTTTATTGTTACAATATCAGGTGATTGTGCCAAGAAACAGCGCTAAGTATATGTGTGTATCATGCTAGGATTCTTGGCATTTCTTTGAGAAAATAAGAAGTTCAACTAGTGAAGGTGATAGTGTAGATGAAACTTGAACTGAGATGGAATGTGTGGCAGAAGGTGTACGTGGATTGGTACAAGGGGAGGAGCGCTTAGGCTTGCTCACAGTGAGCAGACAGGCTTCCCACCCCTGTTCAGTTAGTTTCTTTGGTCTTGAAGATTTACTAAGAATGATTGAAACTGCACAAATTTCTGAAATAAGTAAAATGCAACTTACTTTTTTCAGCTGCTTATAATTAAGGTTTTAAGTCTTAGGGAATGCCAGGTTTTAAACCAGACCAGTGATGCAGTTTCTTGCTCTGCAGCTTTCATGGCTGCTTATCTGGTGCAAAAGGAATTAACATTTTAGCATCCAAAAGTTACATGTGCAAGAGGTTTCTTGTTTGTTGCAGGCTGGTGGGGTCTATGTGGCAGTTAAACAAAACATCCTTGGTTGGGATGATGATCCCAACAATGATAGATGGGAGAGGGGCTAGGGGGCTCTGGGACAATGTCAAGGCACAAGACTTTTTTCAGTTTTCCTCTGCTTTTCTACATGGGTAGGGCAATGGCTGTGGGCCCTTCACCCAAGGAGGATGTTAGTTTGCTGGTTGAGGGGCAGAGGGAGGTTACTGGAAGGACAGGGAATTGAAAGGACAAAAATGGGGACAGCATGACAGAAGTTCCTGAGTTAGTCACCACTGGCTTATAGAAGTCCCAAGGTAGCTGACAAATGGTATTGTGTAGGCTTGAACAAAATAATAGTGCGAATAATCACATGTCAAATAGGTTTTTGAAGGAAATTTGGGAAGTGAGATGGGTAAAAATTCCTTAAATCAGAAAAAACTAACGATGTAAGAATGTTTTCATGTTTTGTTCCCAAATGCAGGGTTTCATCAATACGTGCAACCTCCATGTGTTGGGAAGGTGAGGTGTGGTAGGTGTGCTGTG